CCCCATCCCACCCCATGGATCCCATCCCATCCCATCCCATCCCATCCCATCCCATCCCATCCCATCCCATCCCATCCCATCCCATTCTTGCCCCACAGAAACTTCCAGCCCCATAAAAACTTCCAACCCTGTGGAAATTTTCAGCCCCATCCCATCCCATGGATCCCATCCCTTCCCATTCTTGCCCCACGGAAACTTCCAGCCCCATCCCATCCCATGGATCCCATCCCATCCCACCCCATTCCAACCCCACAAAGACTTCCAGCCCCACGGAAACTTCCAACCCCGTAGAAACTTCCAGCCCCATCCCATTCCTGGCCCACAGAAACTTCCAGCCCCATAAAAACTTCCAACCCTATGGAAATTTCCAGCAATCCCATCCCATCCCGGCAATCCCATCCCATTCCTGCCCATCCCTGTCCCCAGTCCCTGTCCCTGTCCCAAATCCCAGTCCTGATCCCTGTCCCCTGTCCCCATCCTCTGTCCCCAAATCCCTGTCCCTGTCCCCATCCCTGTCCCCTGACCCCAAATCCCAATCCCTGTCCCTCTCCCTGTCCCTCTCCCTGTCCCCGTCCCTGTCCCCCGCGATGGCGGCGGCCGGCGGCGGCCCGTAGGGGCCATGGGCAACGCCGAGGGCCGGGCCCCGCGCCGGGCCGAGCCCCGCGGCAACCCCGGCAGCTTCGATGAGCTGCACCGGCTCTGCAAAGGTGCGCCCGCGGGGAACGGGGGCGGCGGGAGAGCGCGGGGGACTGCGGGGCTGTGAGGGGACAGAGGGACCCTGAGGGGACAGAGGGACCCTGAGGGACAGCGGGACCCTGAGGGACAGCGGGAGCCCCGGGGTCAGGGGACGCCGGTGACGAGGGGACAGCGCGGGTGGCAGGTGTGTCCCCTGGGGGGCTGGCCCGGGGGTGTCAGTGCTGTCCCCAAAACGGGGCTGTGGGGGCCACCTGGGGGGTGCCAGCCGTGTCCCCGGGGGTGTCACAGCCGTGTCCCTGGGGGTGTCACAGCCATGTCCCAGGGTGTCACAGCCGTGTCCCTGGGGGTGTCACAGCCATGTCCCAGGGTGTCACAGCCGTGTCCCCGGGGGTGTCACAGCCGTGTCCCCAAGGGTGTCACAGCCGTGTCCCCGGGGGTGTCACAGCCGTGTCCCCAGGGTGTCACAGCCGTGTCCCCAAGGGGTGACAGCCGTGTCCCCGCAGAGGTGTTCCCGCCGCAGATGGAGGGCGTGAAGCTGATCGTCACCAAGACCCTGAGCAGCCACTTCCAGGTCGGGCAGGGGACGCGGGGGGACCCGGGGGTGGCCGTGCCCCGTCCCTGTGACGGCGCTGTCCCCGCAGGTGACACACACGGTGCACATGAGCACGCTGGGCCCCTCCGGCTACCGCTTCAACGCCACCTTCCTGGGGGACCGCCAGCTGGGCGCCGAGGTGACAGCGCGGGCGGGTGGCACTGCCCTGACACCCCTGGCACTGCGGGGTCACTGGTGGCCTCGGCGTGATCAGGGTCATTGGTGGCCTGTGGTGGCCTTGGGGTCACTGGTGGCCTCAGGTCGTTGGTGGCCCTGGGGTCTCTGGTGGCCCTGGGTGGTCCCAGGTGGCCCCAGGGCCATTGGTGGCCTCAGGGTGGTCAGTGACCCAGGGGTCACAGGTGGCCCAGGGGTCACAGGTGGCCCTGGGTGGGCCGGGCTGGCCCTGGGCTCCTTGGTGGCCTCACCATGGCCACGGTGCCACTGCCCGCTGGTGCTGGCACGTGCCATCAGCCCCAGGCCGGAGCTGGGGACACTCGTGTGGCTGTCCCCGTGTCCCCCTGGCCCCGGTGTCCCCCTGTTCTCTGTCCCTGTCGTCACACCATGCTGTCCCCAGGTGTCCCCAGGTGTTCCCCATGTCCCCCTCTCCCCACCCCTCACCTGCTGTTCCCAGGTGTCCCCAGGTGTCCCTGTCCCTCACCCTGCTGTCCCCAGGTGTTCCCCTATCCCCAGGTGTCCCCAGGTGTTCCTGTGTCCCCGTCCTCATCCCACATGTGCTGTCCCCAGGTGTCCCCCTGTCCCTGTCCCCAGGTGTCCCTGTGACTCTGCGGAGCTGGGGACACTCGTGTGGCTGTCCCCGTGTCCCCCTGTTCTCTGTCCCTGTCGTCACACCATGCTGTCCCCAGGTGTTCCCCCATCCACAGGTGTCCCCAGGTGTTCCCCAAGTTCCCCTCGCCCTCTCCCTCCCCCTGCTGTCCCCAGGTGTCCCCAGGTGTCCCCATGTCCCTGTTGTCGGCAGGTGTTCCCTTGTCCCCAGGTGTTCCCCATGTCCCTGTCCCATGCCACGCTGTCCCCAGGTGTTCCCCTGTCCCCAGGTGTCCTCAGGTGTCCCTGTCCCTGCCCCCATCCCTCATGCTGCTGTCCCCAGGTGTTCCCCATGTCCCCAGCTGTCCCCAGCTGTCCCTGTCCCCACTGTGCGCTGTCCCCAGGTGTTCCCCAGTCCCCAGCTGTCCCCAGCTGTCCCCAGGTGTCCCCGTGTCCCTGTCCTTCATGCTGCTGTCCCCAGGTGTTCCCATATCCCCAGATGTCCCCAGGTGTCCCCAGCTGTCCCCAGCTGTCCCCAGGTGTCCCAGCTGTCCCCGTCCCTCACATGCTGTCCCCAGGTGTTCCCCATGTCCCCAGCTGTCCCCAGGTGTCCCCTGTCCCCGTCCCTCACGTCCTGTCCCCAGGTGTTCCCCTGTCCCCAGCTGTCCCCAGGTGTTCCCAGCTGTCCCCGTCCCTCACGTGCTGTCCCCAGGTGTTCCCCTGTCCCCAGCTGTCCCCAGCTGTCCCCAGCTGTCCCCAGGTGTCCCCTGTCCCTGTCCCCGTCCCTCACGCGCTGTCCCCAGCTGTCCCCAGGTGTCCCAGCTGTCCCCGTCCCACACGTGCTGTCCCCAGGTGTTCCCCACGCTGCTCGGGGACATGGACAGCAGTGGCAGCCTCAACGCGCAGGCCGTGCAGCTGCTGGGCGAGCGCCTGCGCGCCAAGGCCGTGTTCCAGGTGAGCCGGGGGTGCCCCCCCGCCGGCCCCGGCCCCGCGCGTCCCCGCTGCCAGCGCCGCTGTCCCCGTCCCCAGACGCACCAGGCCAAGTTCGTGACGTGGCAGTTCGACGGCGAGTACCGCGGCGAGGACTGCACGGCCACGCTCACGCTGGGCAACCCCGACCTGCTGGGCGGCTCCGGTGAGCCCGAGTGGCCCCGAGGTGGCCCCGAGGTGGCCCCGAGGTGGCCCCGCCGCGCCCGGCGCCGCCGCTGAGGCCGCGCTGTCGCTGTCCCCGCAGTGATCGTGGTGGCACACTTCCTGCAGAGCGTCACCGCCCGCCTGGTGCTGGGCGGGGAGCTCGTGTACCACCGGCGGCCCGGCGAGGAGGGAGCCATCCTCACCCTGGCCGGGAAGTACTCGGGTACGGCCCCCCGGGGACAGCGGGGACACCGGGGACAGCTGGGGACACCACGGACAACGGGAGACAGCTGGGGACAGCTGGGGATGCCTGGGAACAGCTGGGGACAGCTGGGGATAGCTGGGGATAGCTGGGGATGCCTGGGGACAGCTGGGGACACTGGGGACAGCTGGGGACACCAGGGACACTGGGGATAGCTGGGGATAGCTGAGAATGCCTGGGGACAGCTGGGGATGCCTGGGGACACCGGGGGATGCCTCAGGAATGTCTTGGGGACACCTGGGGGACACGTGGAGATGCCTGGGGACAGCTCGGGATGCCTGGGGACAGCTGGGGACACCAGGGACAGCTGGGGATGCTTGGGGGGCACCTGAGAATGCCTTGAGGGACACCTCAGGGACACCTGGGGACACTTGAGGGACATGTCAGAGACACCAGGGGACACCTTGGGTACACCTGAGGACACCTGGAGATGCTTTGAGGACATCTCAGGGACAGCTGGGGATGCCTTGGGGACACCTGGGGGACGCCTGGGGACACCTTGGGGACACTTGGGGACACCTGGAGATGCTTTGAGAACATCTCAGGGACAGCTGGGGATGCCTTGGGGACACCTGGGGACACCTGGGGACACCTGGGGGATGCCTTGGGGCCACGTTGGGGACATCTGGGGGATGCCTTGGGGACACCTTGGGGACACCTGGGGGACACCTCGGGGACACCTGGGGGATGCCTTGGGGACACCTGGGGGATGCCTTGGGGACACCTGGGGACACCTGTGGACGCAGTCTCTGTTGCAGCCCCGCACTGGGTGACAACGCTCAACGTGGGCTACGGCGGCGCCCACGCCAGCTACTACCACCGGGCCAACGAGCAGGTGCGTGTCCCCCTGTCCCCAGGGTGTCCCCAGGGTGTCCCCAGGGTGTCCCCGCGGCGTCCCCACAGCCGTGACCGCTCTGTCACCCCCAGGTGCAGGTGGGGGTGGAGCTGGAGGCCAACACGCGGCTGCAGGAGAGCAGCTTCGCCTTCGGCTACCAGCTGAGCCTGCCGCGGGCCAACGTGGTCTTCCGAGGTGGGCGCGGCTCCCGCGGCCGCCGCCGCCGCTGTCGCCTGCTGGTGGCGCTCAGCTGTCGCCGCTGTCGCCCCGCAGGGCTCCTGGACAGCAATTGGAGCGTGGGGGGCGTCCTGGAGAAGAAGCTGCCGCCCCTGCCCGTGACGCTGGCGCTGGGCGCCTTCCTGAACCACTGGAGGAGCCGCTTCCACTGCGGCTTCAGCGTCACCGTGGGCTGAGGGACGGGGCACAGGGGACAGCACAGGGGACACAGGGACAGGACAGGGGACAGGACAGAGTGAGCAGGACGGGACAGCGGGGACAGGACAGGGGACAGGACAGCAGGGACAGGACAGGGGACAGGACGGGACAGCAGGGACAGGACGGGACAGGGGACAGCAGGGACAGGACAGGGGACAGGAGAGAGGGAACAGGACAGAGGGGACAGGACAGCAGGGACAGGACAGGGGACAGGAGAGAGAGAACAGGACAGCAGGGACAGGACAGCAGGGACAGGACAGAGGGGACAGGACAGAGGGGACAGCACAGGGGACAGGACAGAGGGGACAGGACAGGGGCCAGGACAGCAGGGACAGGACAGAGAGGACAGCGGGGACAGGACGGGACAGAAGGGACAGGACAGGACAGGGGACAGCAGGGACAGGACAGAGGGGACAGGAGAGGGGGGACAGGACAGAGAGGACAGCGGGGCCAGGACAGCAGGGATGGGACAGCAGGGACAGCAGGGACAGGACAGCAGGGACAGTGAGGACAGGACAGCAGGGACAGCGGGCGAGTGGCACCGTCCTGCTCAGGGAGCCGCCAGGCCGGGCCATGCAGGTGCCACAGGGACCCGCGGGGACACGGCGGGCTGGGGACAGCGAGTGACAGCGCCACGGGGGGGACTGGGGGCCCCGTTGTGCCCAGTGCCACCTCCTGGGGGTGGCCGCTGCCGCTGGGGGTCCCCGTTGTCCCCAGCGCCGCGGCGGCCGTGCCTCAGTTTCCCTGCGGCGACACACCCGGGAGCCCGGATAAATAAAGGAGCTTTACTCTGTGCCTGGTGGCGGCCGGGGGTGACACCTGGGGACCGGGGGGTGGCACGGGGGCCGCGCTCAGCTGATGATCTCGGAGAGCAGCGGCGTCATGGCCGACAGGTCCTGGATGTGCAGGATCTGCCGCATGTTCTCCACCATCAGCGTCTGCAGCTCCGTCAGCAGCAGCAGCAGCTTGGCGTACAGGAACCTCGGGGACACGCAGGGGGACATCCAGCCGGCCGTGGTGGCCGTCCCTGTCCCTCTGGGGACGCGGGCACCCCGTGCTGGCGCTCACCTGCCCTCGGGGGGGGGGTGCTGGTGCTCGATGTAGCTCTGCAGGGTCAGCGCCACCTGCTCCTGGAACTGGTCGATGACGTCGCGCTGGGCGATGCCGGCGTGGTCTGGGGGGGCGTGGGGTGACCTCAGCGGGGCCCCGGGGACGGCGGCGTGTCCCCGTGTCCCCCCCTGGGTGGCTCACCTGGCGAGAAGAGCAGCATGGCCTGCAGCAGGGCGTACTCGGCCTCGTGCAGCCGCAGGCGCCGCAGGCTCTCGTGGAACTTGAGCAGAGGCTCCAGGTACACCTGCTGGAATCCCGCTGGGGGACCCCAAAACCCGGGTCAGGGGGGGAGAAGCACCTCTGGGGTCAGTCCCTGCCATCACCAAGTGCCACCTGCTCGGACAGCTCCGGGGTGGCAGCTCTGAGCCTCCCCGGGCAGCGCTTCCAGGGCCTTCTCCCTTTTCCAGGAGGAATTTCCCCAAATTCCCACCTTGAGCCTCCCCGGGCAGCCCTTCCAGGGATTTCTCCCTTTTCCAGGAGGAATTTCCCCAAATTTCTGCCCTGGGCAGCCCTTCCAGGGCCTTCTCCCTTTTCCAGGAGGAATTTCCCCAAATTTCTGCCCTGAGCCTCCCTGGGCAGCCCCTTCCAAGATCTTTTCCCTTTTCTGGAAAGAATTTCCCCAAATTTCCCACCCTGAGTCACCAAGTGCCACCTGCTCGGACAGCTCCGGGGTGGCAGCTCTGAGCCTCCCTGGGCAGTGCTTCCAGGGCTTTCTCCCTTTTCCAGGAGAAATTTCCCCAAATTTCCGCCCTGGGCAGCCCTTCCAGGGCTTTCTCCCTTTCCAGGAGGAATTTCCCCAAATTTCCCACCCTGAGCCTCCCTGGCACAGCTCGAGGCTCTGTCCCCTTGTCCTGCCCCATTCCCTGGGATCAGATCCCAAATCCCTTCTGGCAGATCCCAAATCCCCCCCGGATCCCCTTTTCCTCCAGGCTCAGTCCCCCCCAGCCCCCTCAGGACTTTCCAGACCCTTCCCCAGCCCCTCAAGGTCCGTCCGAACCCGAGTGACCACGGCTGGACACAGCCTCGAGGTGACAACCCCTGCCTGCCACGCTGGCCCTGACCCAGGGACACCTGGGGACACCTGGGTCACACCTGGGTCACACCTGGGCACACCTGGGGCACACCTGGGTCACACATGGGGACACCTAGATCACACCTGGGTCACACCTGGGGGACACCTGGGGCGCACCTGGGCATACCTGGGGACACCTGGGGACACCTGGGGACACCTAGATCACACCTGGGCACACGTCCAGCTGCTGTCCCCCAGGTCCCTCTGTGCCCAGCCAATGTCCCCACCCCGGGGGTCGCTGTGACACCACCGAGCCCCGCCCTTCACCCTGTCCCCCTCCTTCCTCGGGCTGTCCCCGCGGATCCCGCCTGCCCAGCGCCCTCGGCACGTGTCCCCGGTGTCCCCCCGGTGTCCCCGCAGTGTCCCCGGTGTCCCCGCGGTACCCAGGGCCCCGTCGTGGATGGTGTAGCAGCGCTGGCCGCACTCCCAGGCCTTGGTGGCGGGGTTGAAGACGGTGTTGTAGCGGATCTCGCAGATGCCCAGCGTGGCTCCTTTCAGCAGCGAGATCTGCGCCTCCAGCGGCAAACTCCTGCCGGGAGGGGACACGGCGACACGGCGACACGGCCGCGCGTCAGGGGGGTGGCACCGAGGCCGCCCCGCCGCGTCCCCGCCCCGCGCACCTGAACACCGGGATCTCCTTGGCGAATTTGATCACCTGCTGGATCATGAACGTGCTCAGGTCCGCGAACTGCGGCAGCAGCGACAGCACGTCCGGCAGCGCCTCCTCGCACGGCGACAGCGACAGCGACACCCCCGCGGCGACACCCGCGCCAGGCGGGCTGGGCACCAGCAGGCGCACGGCGGGCTGGGGACAGCGAGGGGACACGGCTGGGGACACGCGGGGACACGCGGGGTGGCTCTGGGGGCGGGCGGGGGATCGTGGGGACGGACTGGGGACACGTGGGGACAGTAAGGGACAGTCTGGGGGACAGTCTGGACATCTTTGGGGACAGTTGGGGCATTGTGGGGACAGCCAGGGCATCTTTGGGGACAGTCTAAACATTTTTTGGGACAGTTGGGGCATCGTAGGGACAGTCAGGACATCTTTGGGGACAGTTGGGGCATTGTGGGGACAGCCAGGACATCTTTGGGGACAGTCAGGACATCTTTGGGGACAGTCTGGGTACACGCGGGGACAGTCAGGACATCTTTGGGGACAGTCTGGGAACACGTGGGGACAGCCAGGATATCTTTGGGGACAGTCTAAACATTTTTGGGGACAGTCAGGACATCTTTGGGGACAGTCTGGGCATCTTTGGGGACAGCCAGGGCATCTTTGGGGACAGTCTGGGGACACGTGGGGACAGTCAGGACACTTTTGGGGACAGTCTGGACATCTTTGGGGACAGCTGGGGCACCCATAGGAACAATCGAGGCAGCCCTGGGGACACTCAGGCCACCCATGGGGCCATCCGGGTCACTCGTGGGGACACTCAGGACACCAGGGAGGTTGGCTGGTCACCTCTGGGGACAGCCAGGCCATCTGTGGGGACAGCCAGGACATCTGTGGGGACAGCCAGGACACCCCCGGGGTGCCCAGGGCGCCCATGGGCACGGCTGGGACCCCCGTGGGGACAGCGGGGGCAGCCGCAGGGACAGGGGTGACCCCGCTGGGGACAGGGGTGACCCCGCTGGGGACAGGGGTGTCGCCGTCGGGGACAGGCGTGTCCCCAGCTCACCCAGCAGCGCATGAACTGCGAGAAGCTGGAGTCGAAGGTGCGCTGGTGGGCGCCGATGAGGAGCGCGATCAGCTCCTGCTGCTCGGCCGTCAGCCCCTCGTGTCCCCGCTGTCCCCCGGGCTGGCCCCGCTGTCCCCCGGGCTGGCCCCGCTGGCCCCGCAGCTCCCGCCGCCGCCGCAGCGCCTCCTCCGACATGATCACTGCCACCCCGTGTCCCCGTGTCACCGCTGTCACCGCCGCCACCGGGCACAGCGGGGACAGCGATCGGGGACACCGCAGCGGGTCCCCGCTGTCCCCTCTGTGCCACACTCCCTGCTGCCACCTGTGTCCCCTCCCCTGCCACCCCGCCCAGGCCGCTTCTCCCTGTCCCGTGTCCCCTGCGTGTCCCCTTCACCCCGCCCAGCTCCCCGGTGTCCCCTGTCCCCGCTGTCCCCGTGCCATGTCCCCTGTGTCCCCCGTGCCCCCCCAGCCGCGTCCCCCGTGTCCCCTGCGGGTCCTCCCCCTCTGCTGTGCCCCGTGTCCCCCCGTGTCCCCCGTGTCACTCACTGTCCCTCCTCATGCCCACGTCGAGGCACTTCTGGAGGCGACACGCCTGGCACTGTCGCCGCTTGGCCTTGGTGACAGGGCAGCGCCGCGCCAGGGGACACGTGAAGCGGACACCTTTGATGATGGAGCGCCTGCGGGGACACGGGGACAGGGGCACTGCCACCGCGGGCTGGGGACACGGGGACAGGGGCAGTGCCACCGCGGGCTGGGGACAGGGGCACTGGCACTGCCACCGCGTGTCCCATGTTGGTGCCAGCGGCTGTCCCGTCGTGTCGCACGCTGTCCCAGTCCTGCGCCACCCCCTCCCCTCCCACCCCAGTCCCTCCTGTCCCATCCTGTCCCCACATCCCGTCTTGTCCCCTCGCCCTGTCCCCTTGTCCCATGCCATCCCGCCTTGTCCCCAGCTGTCCCCGCAGTGTCCCTGCAGCGTCCCCGGCTGTCCCCACACTGGCACTGCCACCGCGTGTCCCATGTTGGTGCCAGCGGCTGTCCCGTCGTGTCGCACGCTGTCCCAGTCCTGCGCCACCCCCTCCCCTCCCACCCCAGTCCCTCCTGTCCCATCCTGTCCCCACATCCCGTCTTGTCCCCTCGCCCTGTCCCCTTGTCCCATGCCATCCCGCCTTGTCCCCAGCTGTCCTCGCAGTGTCCCCACACTGTCCCCGCAGTATCCCCGGCTGTCCCCACACTGTCCCCAGCTGTCCCCGGCTGTCCCCGCGCTGTCCCCGCAGTGTCCCCACACTGTCCCGCGCTGTCCCCGCGGTGTCCCCACCTGAAGAAGCCCTTGCAGCCCTCGCAGCTCATGACGTGGAAGTGGTACCCGTTGGCCCTGTCCCCGCACACGGCGCACACTTTGTCCCCGTCGGGCTCCGTGTCCCCAGGGGGGTCGCGGGGGCTGCGCTCCGTGCCCGGGGGGCTCGGCAGGGACACGCCTGGGGACACGGCGACAGCGGGGGTGACACACAGCCGCCAGCGCCACCGCTGCCGTCCCCTCGAGGCCGCGGTGCCACCCTGTCCCGCGGTGCCACCACCCGCGCGTCCCCGCCAGTCCCTGTCGGTCCCCTCCTGTCCCCGCGTGTCCCCGACGGGGACAAAGTGACCCCGCTGGTCCCGGAATGTCCCCGCTGCTCCCCGCGTGTCCCGCCAGTCCCCGAGTGTCCCCTCCTGTCCCCGAGTGTCCCCTCCTGTCCCTGAGTGTCCCCTCCCGTCCCTGTGTGTCCCCTCCTGTCCCTGAGTGTCCCTGAGTGTCCCTTCCTGTCCCCGAGTGTCCCTTCCTGTCTCCTCCTGTCCCCGAGTGTCCCCTCCTGTCCCTGAGTGTCCCCTCCTGTCCCCTGCGGTCCCCGCGGGTCCCCGCGGCTGGCGCTACCTGAGCCGGTGTCCCCCGGTGCCGCCGGTGACAGAGAACTGTCCCCACGCAGCGAGGGGAGCTCGGGTCCCCGCGTGTCCCCGGCGGTCCCCGCGTGTCGCCGGCCGTCTCCGTGTGTCCCCTCCATTCCCCGCGTGTCCCCTGCCGCTGTCCCCGCGTGTCGCCGGCGCTCCCGGGAGCGGCCGCGTGGAGTTTGAACCTTGAACTTGGGGCTGCGACAGGCGGGGACAGAGCGCGGGGCGGAGGGGACACGGGGGATGGGTGGCACCTGGGGTGGCACCTGGGGCGGGGACAGCGGAGCACAGGTGCGGCCACAGAGGGACACGGGGACCGAGGGGACAGCCGGGGTGTCACAGCCGCGGGCTGAGGGTGGCACCGCGTGTCACACGCTGCCAGCAGCAGAGCCCAGAGGGGACGCGGTGGTGGCCGTGCTGCCACCGCTGTCGCCACGGGAAGGTCCCTGTCGCCATCCCGGGACCCCCGCGCAGCGCCTGTGCCCTGTCCCCAGGGGTCACCGCCACCAGGAGGGTGGCACTCGGGGGGGTCACGGTCACTCCCCAGTGCCCCCACACTCCCCCGTGTCCCTCGTGTCCCCCTTGTCCCCCCTGTCCTCCCGTGTCTTACATGTCCCCCATGTCCCCAATACCCCCAAATGTCCCCAGTGTCCCCCAGGTCCCCAAAGTCCCCAATGTCCCCCCCATGTCTCCAATGTCCCCAATGTCCCCAATGTCCCCCGTGTCTTCCCCATGTCCCCAATGTCCCCAATGTCCCCAATGTCCCCAATGTCCCCAGTGTCCCCCACCCCCGGGGCTGGGGGGGGGGGAGGTTGAAGCCACGCTTGTGGGCGTGTCCCTGCCGGCCCCGCCCCCGCTCCCCATTGGCTGCTCGCGGCTGTCACTCAAACCCGCCCCTATAAAAGCGGCGGCGGCAGCGCCGGTCCCGCACTCGGCAGCGGCGACAGCGGGCGGGATGAGCGAGGTGGGGACAGCGGGGACACCGGGGACACCCGGGACAACGGGGGACACCCGGGGCCGGAACACACCGGGGAGCGGGGTCTGCCCCTTGTCCCGTGGCTTTCAGCACCGGGGAGGGGCGGGGGGGCTGCAGGGACCGCGGGGACAGTTTGGGGACAGCGGACCACCGGTGTCACCTCCCCTGTCCCCTCCGGGCTCTCCTCTCTTCTCAGCGCAGCCCCCATGAGCCCCACGCTGGCTGGAGGTTGTGGGGACCCCCGGGGACAGTGGGGGGGGGCCGGGGACAGTGGGGGGGCCTTGGGGACAATGGGGAGGGGGCCTGGGGACAGCGGAGCCCCTGTGTCACCCCCCGGGTCCCCTCTCTCCGCAGCGCAGCCCCCGTGCCCCCCCCTCCGCGGCGGAGGCCCCCGGTGGGCAGCAGCAAGGTGAGGACCCCCGCTGTCCCCGGGGTCCCCCCATTGTCCCCGTCCTTGCGGGGGGTGGCACCTGGGTGCGTTTGGGGACCTGCTCCGTCCTTCCCCTGTCCCCTCGGAGGTGTCGCGGTGTCCCCCTGGGAGGGGTCGTGGTGTCCCGTGTCCCCCGGGGGTGCCAGGCTGTCCCTCTGGATGTCCCCAGAGTGAGTCTGGGGGTGCCAGGCTGTCCCTTGTCCCCGGGGGGGTGGCAGGGTGTCCCCCTGAGTGTCCCATTGGGTGCCAGGCTGTCCTGTGTCCCCCCGGGTGTCCCCTGGGTGTCCCCGCGGTGAATCCGGCTGTCCCCAAGCGTGTCCCCGTGCCGTGTCCCCCCCCCCCCCCCCCCGGCCCCAAGGGCGCCCCCCAAAANCGGTGCCCCCCCCCCCCCCGGCAGCCAAGGCTGACCCCAAGAAGGAGGAAGAGGAGGAGGAGGAGGAGATCGACATCGACCTGAGCGCGCCCGAGACGGAGCGCGCGGCTCTGGCCATCCAGGGCCGCTTCCGCCGCTCCCGGCAGCGCAAGGAGCCCCCGCGGCCCTGAGGGGACCCCCACCCCGCGGGGACCCCCGTGGGGACCCCCGCGGGCAGCGCCGGGGGGGGCTCGGCCCTTCCCTGCCCCGAGCCGGGGCCGCGAGTGACGCTGGGGGGGACACAGGGGGGTGTCCCCTCGGGAGAGGGGGCGGCGGGGACCCCCCCCGTTTTCCTGGGACCCCCCCGTTTTCCTGGGACCCCCAATTTTCCATAGGACCCCCCCATTTTCCATGGGAACCCCCGTTTTCCGTAAGAATCCCCCCGTTTTCCACGAGATTTCCCCCATTTTCCTGTCCTGTGGTGGCGTTGGGGACACGCGGGGGGGGGGGACGGGTCCCGCTGCAGCCCCCAGCCCAGGAAATCGGGGCTCCCCACCCTCCTGTCACTGCCACCGCCCCCTCCTCGGGGGGATTGGCCGCCGAATTTTGGGGGGATTCGCAGCCTGATTTGGGGGGGTTCGCAGCAGGGTTTTGGGGGGCCCACAGCCGGGTTTTGGGGGATTGACAGCCTAATTTTGGGGGGAGTTTGCAGGCGGATTTAGGGGGGATTCGCAGCCGGGTTTTGGGGGGACCCACAGCTCGGTCTGGGGGGTTCTCAGCCTAATTTTGGGAGGGTCGCAGTCGAATTTCGGTTTTCGGGGGGGTTTGCAGCAGGATTTTGGGGGGTCCACAGCCGGATTTTGGGGGAGTTCGCAGCCGGGTTTTGGGGGTTCGCAGCCTAATTTTGGGGGAGTTTGCAGGCGGATTTAGGGGGCGTTTCAGGCGGGTTTTGGGGGTTTCGCAGCCGGGTTTTGGGGGGCTCGGGGGGTTCGCAGGGCCCGGGAGTGCCGCGGTCCGGGGCAGAAATAGCTCCTTGGAAAGAAAAACAGCGGCGGCGGCCGCGGGGCAGGGCCCAGGGGACGCGGCGGGGTCGCGCTGCGCAGACTTATTAGGGAAAGGACAACGGCACCGGGGGGGCTCGGGGGGCTCCGCCCCGGCTCCGTGCCCCAAGTGCCCCCCCAGGCCCGGGGCCGGGGTCTGTCCCCCCCCCCAGTCCCAGCCGCGCCCACCCCTGGGGGGACAATGGCCACGAGGGGACCCCTGAGCCTCTCGGCCTCTGCGTTAATTACAGCGAGCTTTAATTAACGGCGGGCGGCGGGGAGGTGGCACTGTGCTGGTGGCATCGGGGACAGCCCCCCCTGGTTGAGAGGGCCACCAGGTCACCGTGCAAGTGTCACCTCCCCGCGGAGGTGGGGATGAGCTCAGACCCCGCCAGCCCCGCAGGGGGACAGGGACGGGGACGGGGACAGTGACAGTGGCAGTGGCAGGCGGGAGGGGACACGGGGCTCCCGGAGAAGTCAGTTTTATTAATGGCACCACGGGGACAGGGAGGGGACAGGGACAGGGGGTACAAAACGCGTCCGGGGGCACGGGCGGCCCCCCCAGCCCGGCCGCAGCCTCGCCCCCTCCGCGGGGCTCCGGCCGGTTTGGGGGGGGGTCCCGGGGGTTACGGGGCGCGGGGGTTAATGGGGGGACAGGAGGGGACAAAGGGGACAAAGGGGCGGGGGCCACCCTGCGACGTCATTTGGGGTCGGTCGCGGGGAGAGACGAGAAAACGGCCAGAAAAGGAGCGAAATTGGGGGCACAGAAACCCCCCCGAGTTCGGGGGGGGGGGACACGCGGCGGGGACACGGCCCCGCGGGGACCCCGCAGGTCCCCGGGGAGGGGGGGCCGGCCCCAAATCCGCCGGGATTTCGCGTTCCGAAGGGGAAATTCCACCCGGGGATGGGCAGGGAGCGACCGAGGGGGGGCCGGGGGGGACCCGCGGTTGTCCCCAGCGCTGTCCCCGAGGCCGAGGGACCCGAGGCGAGGACCACACCCCGCTCCTCGCCGGGTCCCGAGCCCGCCGGGGCCGCGGCCGGGGCCGGGGGGGCCGTCAGGAGCCCCCCGAGTTGGGTTTGATGATGCTCAGCAGGGCGCTCTTGAGGCTGCCCCGGCTCGGGGAGCGGGCGGCGGGCGGGGCCGCGGCCTGGGGCTCCCCCCGCAGCTCCATCTCGATGGTCATGATGACTTTGGGGGGCCGGGGGTCCCCCTCGGCCCCGGCCGCCCCCGGGGGTCCCTCCCTGCCCGCTAACCGCTATTTCCTATCCTTGCGCGAGTCGCCCTTGGCTTTCTTGGCGCCGCGGCCGTGGTCCAGCATGGCGTAGAGCACGGGGGCCTGCGGGGGGGACAGGGGGGCTTCACCCGCCGCCCCCGGGGGGGCTGGGGAGCGGGGGGACAGCCCGCCGAGCCCCCCGCCCCGCTCGGCGCTCACCTGCCGGCTGCGCTTGGAGCCGTCCTTGCCCGAGCGCTGCAGCTTGCCCTTCTCCATGGCGCTGGGGAACGGGAGAGGGGGCTCGGGACGGGACCCCCGGGACCCCCGGTGCGGGGGAACGGGAGAGGGGGCTCGGAACGGGACCCCCGGTGTGGGGGAACGGGAGAGGGGGCTCGGGACGGGACCCCCGGTGTGGGGAAAAGGGGGTCTGGGGGATGGTAGGACTGCATCCCCGGGACCCCCGGTGTGGGGAAAAGGGAAAGGGGGGTCGGGATGGGACCCCCGGTGTGGGGGAGAGGGGGGCTCGGGATGGTGGAACTGCAGCCCCGGTGGTCCCGTTTGGGGAGGGGTCCCGGTTTGGGTGGGGGTCCCGGTTTGGGGAAGGCTCCCGGTTCAGGGACAGTCCCGGTTTTGGGAGGGTCCCGATTTACGGGGGCGAGGGGTCCCGATTTAGGTGGGGGTCCCGGTTTGGGTGGGGGTCCCGGTTTGGAGACAGTCCCAGTTTGGGGAGGGGGTCCCGATTTGGGTGGGGGTCCCGGTTTGGGGGGGGTCCCGCTCACCTCAGCCGCCGCTGCAGGGCCGCCTGGCGCCGCCGCCAGCAGTAGCGCGTGCCGTAGGCCAGGGCCACCAGCACGGCCACCAGGAGCAGCGCCCCGCCGATGACAGAGCCCAGCACGACACCGTAGCGGGGTGGCACTGCGGGGACAGCGGCACCGTGTCACCCCCCCGGCAGCGGGTGGCACTGCGGGGACAGTGGCACTGCGGGGACAGTGGCACTGCGGGGACAGCGGCACCGTGTCACCCTCCGGCTGCAGGGAGGGGACAGTGGCACAGTGTCACCCCCCACCAGTGAGGGTCAGGGAGGTGACACCAGCCTGGTGCCACCACCGCCAGTGAGGGTCAGGGAGGTGACACCAGGCCAGTGTCACCTCCAGCAGTGCAAGTGCCACCAGCGCCGTGGCCCCGCCACCAGCAGGCTCCGGGAGGTGACAGCAGAGTCCGGGATGTGACACCAGCCCCGTGTCATCCCCATCAGGGGGGATCGCGGAGGTGACACCAGCCCGGTGTCCCTGCCACCAGCAGCCTCCGGGCGGGTGCCACCAGCCCGATGTCCCCGCCCTGCCACCAGCAGGGTCGGGAGGTGACAGCAGCCCGGTGTCACCGCCAGCAGCAGGGACCAGGGAGGTGACAGCGGGCTCAGGGAGGTGACACTAGTCTGGTGTCAGTGCCACCAGCAGCCTCCGGGCGGTGCCACCAGCAGGACACCAGCGGTGTCCCGCCCTGCCACCAGCGGCCCCGGGAGGTGACACCAGCCTGGTGTCCCTGCCACCAGCGGCCCCCGGGAGGTGACAGCGGCCCGGGAGGTGACAGCCGTGTCGCGCACCTTTCTCC